CTGCGAGCGGGCAGCGCGAGCGGATAGCGCGGCGGATGGGCGGCGCTACTGGCGGGCAGCGCGGCGGGCAGCGCGACGAGCAGCGCGGCGGGCGAGGGCGCAACGGGGGGCGCTGACGAGGGCGCTAACGAGAGGCGCACGAGGGCGTTGACGAGAGGCGCACGAGGGCGCTAACGAGAGGCGCACGAGGGCGCTAACGAGAGGCGCACGAGGGCGCTAACGAGGGGCGCGCGAGGGCGCTAACGAGGGCGCGCGAGGGCGCTAACGAGGGCGCACGAGGTAGCGTGGTAACCGCATGCGAGCGGTGGTGGGCCCTAAAAAAACGGTCGGTAGGTCCTAGGGACCTCCTGCTCTGAATACCATATCAACAGGACTAGGCAAGAATGATGCATTGAATGAAACAGTTGGGTACAAGTAGTAAACCCTAGTTGGGGTTGTACCCCATATTGGCTACCCCACTACAGCCTACCAACATATAACACATTACAATTTAACAGGAGGAGGACCGGTGGGTCCTGTGCGGTGCTGGCCAGCGAGCTCCCCAGGGGGGAGGAGGACCGGTGGGTCCTGTGCGGTGCTGGCCAGCGAGCTCCCCAGGGGGGAGGAGGACCGGTGGGTCCTGTGCGGTGCTGGCCAGCGAGCTCCCCAAGGGGGAAGAGGGCTGGTGGGTCCTTTTTGGTCTGTGGGTCATTTGTAAGGTAGATTAATGGTTGTGCAGTCTTTGTAATACTTTGCAATTACCTTATGATGAGCCCTTACAGTGCAAGGTTGCAATGCGGTCACACTTGAGTTGGTTGATTGAACAAACGTGGTGAGTCTGAAATGGTGCACTACTCTAGCAGATCATACCTATACTCATTGGGAAAAATAAAAGAAGAATAATAATAAATAAATAACCACGCAGGGCTTAAACGCCGGCAGATTCATCTGGATACCAGAAAGTTTCATGTACTCTTTGTGATACGAGCACGATTGTGACCACAAGGGTCGGGCTCATTCCGTACAACTTGTACGGTACAAGCTCACACCCATCATCAACACAACATACCGTACCAACGTCCGCTGCCCGAGTCCTTCCATATTGTTGCGGGTTCGTGTAAGAAGCCTACGTATCAGCCATCTCCCATTGATCAACACGCCTGTGCTACACTTGGCGCGACACCCCATCCAATGCAACGACAGAGATTAACATCATCACCAGCAACATCGGTACAAGCATCCGCTCCGTGTGCGAGCGGACCACCACCCACATGTCATCTCGCAAACGATCAACAACTCCCGTCGCATGTATCAGAAGACCCATTTGAAACGAAGCACGTTGCCATTGCAAACACAAGAAAGCAAGCTTTCTAAATATGAAGTTTTTTGAAAGTGTGTAACACTTTCTAAAAATGTGTATTGTGAAAGCGCAGCTTACTGTAGCGAAGCAAGGCAACGGCGAATTACTATTCGCCGAGTACATAACGAGGGTTGGAGGCCTTTTGGCCTCCACCCACGTCTTCATTTCGGAACTTTGCAGTTCCATCCTATTCTCGTCCAACCACCTCGTCGTTCCACTTTCTCCTAGCATTCTGGTTCAACTTTCTCATTCGTAGCTCTCTTTTTCTATAAAAGGCGATGGCGCTTTGCACCAGAATGCCGATTTTAAGAGGGCTTATACGCGCCCACAGCTGTACCTTTCTGCCAGCGGGCGCGCGTGACCCAGCGGGCCCTGACTAAGTGACAAAATCGCCTCAGGCGCGCCTGAGACGAGATCGCCAATGGTGCGCCTGAGACGAAATTGCCTGTGGTGCGCTTGAGACGAAATCGCCAGCGCGCCCGAGACAAGATTGCCAGCTCCCCTGAGACGAAATCGCCAACTCCCCTGAGACGAAATCGCCAGCTCCCCTGAGAAGAAATCGCCAGCTCCCTTGAGACGAAATCGGTAGCTACCCGGAGACGAAATCGCCATAGGCACGCCTGACGACAAAAGCGCTAGTGGCGCGCCTGACGACGAAACCGCCAGTGGCGCGCCTGGCGACGAAATTGCCTGAAGAGATTGCCACCAACGAGACTGACAACGAAATCGCCACCAACGCGACGGATGACGAAATTGCCACAGTCGAGCCTGACAGATTGCAAGGGCGCGCCTGCAAAAATCGTGGTGTGACAAGGCGAAAACGCCACGGACATGACGGGACGCCTCCGCTACATCAACCCCTGCAACTTCTTCCGGCAATGCGGACGTGACGCCTGCACCGTTATTATCATTTTTTATTGCCACACGGGTATGTGTTTCCATTTCTTCAACTTGGTCAATAATTATATGTCTTCTCTGCTCTGGTTTTTTGGATTGTCGCGCGTTTCATTGATCACAGTTTGCAGGAATATCTGCGCACGGACGAGTGTCAACGCTTGGCACATCCCCGCGTCGTTTCCCAAGAGGGGAAGGGGACCGAGGGTCCCGGCTGGCCAGAGGGCCGTTCCCCATGGGGGGAAGGGGACCGAGGGTCCCGGCGGGCGAGAGGGCCGTTCCCCATGGGGGGAAGGGGACCGAGGGTCCCGGCGGGCCAGAGGGCCGTTCCCCATGGGGGGAAGGGGACCGAGGGTCCCGGCTGGCCAGAGGGCCGTTCCCCATGGGGGGAAGGGGACCGAGGGTCCCGGCTGGCCAGAGGGCCGTTCCCCATGGGGGGAAGGGGACCGAGGGTCCCGGCTGGCCAGAGGGCCGTTCCCCATGGGGGGAAGGGGACCGAGGGTCCCGGCTGGCCAGAGGGCCGTTCCCCATGGGGGGAAGGGGACCGAGGGTCCCGGCTGGCCAGAGGGCCGTTCCCCATGGGGGAAAGGGGACCGAGGGTCCCGGCTGGCCATAGGGCCGTTCCCCATGGGGGGAAGGGGACCGAGGGTCCCGGCTGGCCAGAGGGCCGTTCCCCATGGGGGGAAGGGGACCGAGGGTCCCGGCTGGCCAGAGGGCCGTTCCCCATGGGGGGAAGGGGACCGAGGGTCCCGGCTCGTGACATGCGGAGATAGAGAGAGAGAGACACGAGAGCTGGCACACGGGTCATTGCGCTAAGGAAGGAGTATATGCACATTGCGACAAGCTTGTGCTATGTAGAAAAAAGGGGACTTGCCGTATGCCATCCTTGGCTGCCGGTATAATGCCTTTCAAAATCGTTTTTGTCCGTACGTGTCCTTGTATGTGCCTTTGTACTTGATTGTTAAAAAATGCTCGAATTGGAAGTCTTGGTTACAAACCACCTTGAACATGGCTTGAGAAAAGATTGTTCTTGTCGAAATGAATCTACAACGGCTTTAAGGCCTTCATATGCTGCCCTCGACGCACACAAGGAACAGAGATACGGTACACCTGCTCTCACATTGAGTCCGAGGTTTGTGATCGCTTATTTCTGCCTTGTTGTGATGTTTCTGGAACTCCCACATTAGATGACCTACTCATGATTGATTCTATGTGTGATGTATACATAGTACGCAGTTCTGTGAAAGTATCATGGCTGGAACATTTATTCTTGTACGGGTTTTTATTGCTCAATCATACGGTACATACGATCATTTACCATCCGGCGAACTTCTCAAAGTCCCCAATGGTAATACAAAGCCATACCTCTGCGTTTACACTCCTCCTAATGCGGCTCTCGCGCCTCATGCACCCATCCCAAGCCATCCCGCCTGCTAATCCACTTGGTGATTTCATTCTAACGATCGTATGCCAGTCACGAGGCTTCATTGGCAATCTTGGCCTCTCGTGTGCTCTCGCGGACAATCGCGAATGTGAAAAGCAGCTCTTGACAATAATTCTAGAGTAGTCGCTAACTCCGTCATACAAAAATCACTTGCATGCAATGTCGCTCTGTTATCCACACGTCAATCACGCGGCATCATCGGGAGACGTCAACATCCACGCCCTCGGCAGCTAACATCAACCACCAGTTTCAACCACACTCTTCTGCTGCGCCAACAACCAGGGACATCTACATAAATGGAACGAGCAACCGTCATACACAACATTCCGAAACCCACCGGCATGGCGATCGCATCGCAACCAACCAACGCCACCTCTCTCAGCAATTCGTCGAGGCCATCAACCTTAACAAGACTCAGTACGCCTTCACCGCTCCTAACTACACATGTCTCAGTAAACCCAACTGTAATGAAGCATGTTGCCATTGCAAGAGCAGAAAGCAAGCTTTCTCAATATGAAATTTTTTGAAAGTGTGTAACACTTTCTAAAAATGTGTATTGTGAAAGCGCAGCTTACTGTAGCGAAGCAAGGCAACGGCGAATTACTATTCGCCGAGTACATAACGAGGGTTGGAGGCCTTTTGGCCTCCACCCACGTCTTCATTTCGGAACTTTGCAGTTCCATCCCCCACCCACCCACCCTAGTCGTATCTTTGTATAATCTATAGTTAGGTTGGACGAGAATGATGTAATCACTGCAACTGTAATGAAGCACGTTGCCATTGCAAGAGCAGAAAGCAAGCTTTCTCAATATGTGTATTTTGAAAGCGAAGCTGCTTGTAATGCAGCAATGGCAACCGCGAAGTGCTAGACGCTCTTCGCCAACTATATAGCAGGGGGTGGAGGCCATTTGGCCTCCACCCACGTCTTCATTTGAAATTTCAACTGCATTATTTCCCACCCACCCACCCTAGCAAAAACTGCATGTTGTAATGTAGGTATGTATACTTAGCCGGACGAGAATGTTGTAATGCCCATTTGAAACGAAGCACGTTGCCATTGCAAACACAAGAAAGCAAGCTTTCTAAATATTGATAAATATAACAGCATCCCACTTGCCTGTGAAACGCCTTGTTGCAGGCATCCCGAAAACAAAGTGGGCATTTTACAAAGCAGATTACGCACACCCACCTAACCACCCACTCAGCTGCATAGAAGCTTGGCACCAGGTGTAGCCATACAGTGCCGGGCACATGCATTTGTTGTACTGTAGACAACAAAGATATCCCATGTGGATAGATGCACTTCTCACCGCAACCCTCAATCTACCAACCATTCCGCCCCACAGCACCAGTAGCACCAGCAGCACCACCACACATGACACATCTCAACACCAGTCCATCTACTCTCTGTCCCCAGCAATCACCCCCTGCCCTCGCCACCCCTTCCAACACCACGCCTCTCGATTCTCCCACGACAGGCTGAGCCTGCTTGTCATTACCCAAACCTTCCATTGCACCTGCATTCCCGTGTCGTGTTTGTAGGTCAGGAGGCGCCTGTGGTGGTGCCGCCTGCCCTTGTGCTGTCTCCGCATCTTGTATTGATACCACTGCATCACCACCACCACCGACATCATCACCAGCACCTGCACCACCACCACCGCGACCATCAGCCCCAGTCCCTTGACACGATCCATACAGCCTAGACCCACTCCCTTCCTCCCTAACCCAACCCCCTCCCTCTCTCGCTCCACCATCCCTCCCATTCCTCTCCTCCCCAGCCTGCCTTGCCTCATCCCTGCCCTCTCCAACCTCGCCCCCTCCTGCCCCACACCCGTCAGAATCAGAATCCACCCTTCCAGAGATTCTTTTATGTGAGTGATGCTGCTCATCTCTCCCCGTGAAGTGGCTCTCACTCGTCTCTGCGACCACGGGGGTTGATCCTTGCTGCCAGTACGAGAGCAGCCGCAGCTCCCCAGGGTCGCTGGGGCGGGCGGCATGGGAGGCACCAAGAGGCGTGGCAGGAGAAGCACTCCATCCCCAGGTATTCCTTCCTCTTCCCTTTGCTTCTCCACTTCCCCCTCCACCTCCTGTTCCCTCCTTGCCTCCCTCTGCTTGCTCTCCTCCTACTGGTGTACCTCCTTGGCTGGTGGGAGCATCAGAATCAGCACCAGAGTCAGCAGCAGCAGAGTCAGCAGCAGCAGAGGCAGAGGCAGAGGACCCACTGAACCGCATCGCTCTCTGCTGCCGCCTTCTTCCCCTCCTGCCCCCCCTGCCCATTCCCAGGAAACCCCCGCCTTCCTCTGCCCTTCCACTCTGCCCTTCTAGCACTGCCCTTACTCGTTCCACGACAGGGGAGTCAGACCAAGACACGTCAGACACAGCACATGCCACGTCATGTGTGGCAGGAAACAGCTCAGTATCAGGACATGACAAGTCAGACTGTGAAGCTGCGGCGGCAGCTGCACTGGTGGCAGCAGAAGCAGTCATGTCAACAGGCGAGGAGGAGGCGGCAGTGGCAGTGGCAGGAGGTACGAGAGTGGTTGCAGATGCTCTCTCAGTTGCTGCTGGTGTGGTGCGAGGAGAGAGTTCTTGCGAGGGCTGTGAGAAGGAGTGGGCTAGAAGAAGGGATGAGGAAGGACGTTGAGCAGGTGGCAACAAGGGAAGGAAATGAGTAGGGAGGTGGCTGTTAGAGGTCCTACTAGCAGCAGGGGAGGAAAAGGCCCAAGGTGAACCTGCAGTGGGACCGCTTATTCCTTCTGAAGCACCAGCAGCAGCACCAGCAGCAGCAGCGGCAGCGGCAGCAGCGGCGGCGACGGAATGGAGGAGGCATGAGCGATGGTAGGAGTGGCGACAAAAGAAGACCACAGCTGCAGAGTCGAACAAGCAGATGGAATCCAGACACAGGCAGCAGCGACTGCTGCCACTGAACGCACGAGAGCCTGCCGGTGCTGCTGCTGCTGCAGCCGCAGCCGCTGCTGTGTGGTCGTGAGAGCTATTGTACAAAGAAACCCTGTCAGTCAATGCATCCTCAACGGAAGCATCATCGGTTCCAGTAGTATTAGCAGCAGCAAAACCACCACCACCACCACCACCACCACCACCACCACCACCACCACCACCACCACCACCGCCGCCGGCATCACCATTCACATTAACTTGTCCTGCTCCTGCGCCTGAGCCTACTTCAGACCCTCCCTCTCCTGCTTTTCCTGCTTGCTCCTCCTCCACCACCCTCCTCCTCTCACTCCGCCCGCCTCTCTCTGAAAATATCAACCCAGCAGCAGCAGCAGCAGCAGCAGCAGCAGCGGAGGCAGCGGAGGGAGTGGGAGGCAGCCAGGGAGGCGGCACGAAGGAGAGGGTCGGAGAGGCGAGGAGGAAGGCAGGGGTGGCGAAGGCGGCAGGGGGGACGGACAGGCTGAACTGCCACGCGGAGGAACCTACCCGCACCGCTCTGCACGCCTCTTTATGGAACGAGGAGAAGAGCTTGAACCAGCCGGACTGTAGTGCAGGTGCAGTGTGCAGGGCGAAGGGCAGGTGAGGTGAGGTGATAGGGGTGGGAGGGAGGAAGGGAGGGAGGAAGGGAGGGAGGAAGGGACGGAGGAAGGGAGGGAGGAAGGGAGGGAGGGTACACGATAGGGAGGGGGAATGAGGGGTGGAAGCAGATAGCGTTTTTAGACGTCCCACTTCTCTTGAGGACATGCAGAGGAAGAAGGACAGGGTGTCCAGCGGAATGCAGCAGCAGAAGCAGCAGCACGTGCAGAGGAGAGGGTGGAGATCAAGCGGAAATAGAGGAGGAAACGCAGAACAAGAAGTGGGTCAGTCGGGAGTAACTCCAATCCAAGGTCACATGTGACTGCACGGAGTCATAAATCAGGGAAAGTGCTTCAGGAAACAGTTTGTGCGTGCGTGAGTGCATGTGTGTGTGTGTGCGTGGGTACGTGGGTGGGTGGGTGCATGGGTGTGTGGGTGTGTGGGTGCGTGAGTGGGTGTGTGTTGATTGTGAATTTCGTGGGCTCACAAGAACGAGTTGGTGTGACTGTCTCTCAATATCCACTTGGCATGAGGCCGACCGGAGCAGAGGGATGAGCCGCTGCTTTAGCCTGGTTCCGCAGGAATGGCGAGCGATGTGAGTGTGTATGCGTGAAGGGGAGGGGTAGGCAAGGAAGAGAGGGGGGAGATGGTGAAGCAGGAGTGGGATAAGGTGTGGCAGAGAGAGCAGGAAGGAGGGTGGAATGAGGAGAAAAGCGTGTTGAAATCTGAAAGCTGGAGCAAAAAAATAATTCAGCTTCTGCTCGTTGAGGTGACAACTCTGTGACTCTGTTTGGGCTTCATTCATGCGGAGGCTAGAGACCAGCCCTGGATGAAGCCCGTGTCGTGTCATGTCATGTCTTGTCACTACTTTTTTCAGTCGACTCGAAAACAAGTCACCACTTAGCTGGGGCATTGAGGAATGGATGTGATGTGGAGGGACGGATATGGTGATGCTGACAGATGGATGGAAGGACGTACCGAGGAACGGGGTGGTGCGGGCGCAGCATGCGCACTAGGTGCACAGGGCTGATGCTGGGTAGACAGCGGTCCAGGAGGGCATGCAGCTGACAGCATGAGAGGGAGAGAGGGAGAGAGGGAAGGGGAAATTGAAACGGGGATCAGGGCATTGGACAGAGGGCGTACAGAAGGCACATGAGGTAATGTTCGAACGATGATGCAATCAAAGCTGAAATTCACAGCATGTGGCGGAAATTGGAAGGAAAGGCACATGGCATGGGACTGTACAATGCGGGGGTTGGAGGCAGCTTGGTGGGTGATGGAGGCGCACAAAGAGTCATCTCCACTGGTTGCTATCACTTGGAGTGCCTGCCATGCCATGCCATGCCATGAGATTCCATAAAAGTCCCATGCCATCCCGCACCATGACACATGCCACCACGCCATGCCATGCCATGCGACGCCATGGAGAGAAGCACGGGGAGAGTTGAACTGAGAGAGAACTGGTTGCACTCAAATGCACGGGGGGGGGCAGTGCAGCAGCGCCCCTCCACGGCACTGGCCATCGTTCCATGCCATGCCACCATCTCACTGCATTCGTCAACTGCGCACCTCTCACTGCGAGAATCGCACCAACTCAAATGGCTAGAAGAAGAAGGAGACAAAAAAACAAAACAAAGGGAGTGCTGAGCTGTCAAGGCTCAGAGTTCAGAATCTCCAAAGCAGCCGGCCTTGCCTCTGTGTGCCCGGCCTCGCCTCGCCTCCATCATCTCACTCACCTTGTCAACGTCGCCCAGGGCGTGCAGGCAGAGGGAGAGAGCAGCGTGGTGGTTGCCCATGCGCTGCTGTAGCAGCACCATGGCGTGCTGTAGACCCCGCTGCTGACACGCCCTGTATGCCTGGAACCTCCAGTGCCGAGGGAAAGGGGAGGGAGGGAGGGAGGGGGGGAGGGGATTTGGAGGGGTTGGTTTAGTGGTATGATGCTGTAACAGCACCATGGCGTGCTGTAGACCCCGCTGCTGACACGCCCTGTATGCCTGGAACCACCAGTGCCGAGGGAAGGGGAGGGAGGGAGGGAGGGGGGGAGGGGATTTGGAGGGGTTGGTTTAGTGGTATGGTGCTGTAACAGCAGCATGGCGTGCTGTCGGCCCTGCTGACAAGCCCTGTTTGCCTGGCACCACCAGTGCGGGAGGGGAGGTGAGGGAGAGGGGGAGGGGAGGTTAGGGAGGCGGGGAGGGGAGGTGAGGGAGGGGGGGATTTGGAGGGGTTGGTTCAGCAGAGATGCTGCTGTAGGGCAGTAGCAACACCATGACATGCTGTAGGGCAGTAGCAACACCATGGCATGCTGTAGGGCACGGGAGAACGAGGGGGCGGAGAGGAGGAGGGGCAGAGGATTTGGGGAGGTGGGGAGGAAAGGGAGAGGGTCAAGAGGGGTCGAGAGGGGGGAGGGGGGGATGGGGATCAGGAAGGGAATTGCAAGTGGCTGGCAGTGGCAGTAGCAGTGGAAGCACTAACCATTTGAGATCGTAGATTGTTGTACCTGCGGGTTGTAACAAGTGGAGGCATGCGCAGGCACTGGAGGGGATGATGAGAATGATAAGAGGAGATGAGGGAATGATGGAATGCTGGTGCAATATGGCTCCTTGTATCATGGAGTAATGACGTGTAAAAAGATTATTTTTGAGACGTCTCAAAAATAATCTTTTTACAATATGGCTCCTTGTATCATGGAGTAATGATAGGCAAGGTAGGTACTCACAGCGTCAAGGGAGTAGAATGAGCTGCGGCGCAGGAAGGAGAGAAGGAACGACGGCTGAAACTCCGCGTACAGGTGAACCTGATGATTACCATTCGCAACAGGGATGGGAACCGGGGTAAGGTCGAGATGAAAGGTAAGGGGCAGGGTTGGGAGTGGGAGGGGAAGGGGAGTAAAAAGGGGACAGGGAAAGGGGAAGAGAGAGCGAGAGAAACGCTGTTGGCCAAAGGGAAAGAGTCTCGCCTCCGAACAAGGCTACAGGTCTACGTGCATGTGGAAACGGGACCAAAGGATGTAACGAGCGAGCATGGTCTGCTCTGCTCTGCATAACTCCTCCCTGCCTGCCTGCCTACCTGCAAGGTGTGCCATCGCCTGCCCACAGCAGCAGCATCTCTCACGAACACCGTGTGCAGGTACCGGAACATGAGGTGCCTTTTGAGTCGACTCAGTAGTCAGCTTGGCACTGCTTTCCTCCGTACCTGTGAAAAAAGGAGTGTTTTGAGACGTCTCAAAACAGCTTGGCACTGCTTTCCTCCGTACCTGTGAAAAAAGGAGTGTTTTGAGACGTCTCAAAACAGCTTGGCACTGCTTTCCTCCGTACCTGCAAGGTGTGCCATCGTCTGCCCACAACGGCATTTGCCACGAACACTGTGTGCAGGTACCGGAACATGAGGTGCCGCACCCGCACCTCCCCCATGCCACGCACCACCGCTCCCTCCAACTCCTCCCCCTCCCCCTCCTCTCCCCCCTCGTCTTCCTCTGCCTCTCTCCCCTCCTCTCCCTCCTCGCTCTCCTCTCCCTCTTTCCCTTGCCCACCTTCCTTCCCAGTTGCTCCCTCCCATCCCTCCTCCGCCATCTCCTCCCCTCCCTCGTGTGACTGGAGCTGTAGTCGTAGCTGTGGCTTTTGTGGTCTGTTCCCGGGAGTCTCCCTGTGTGAGCTTGCTAGGATGCCTTGTTGGTGAACAGCACTAGTAGTAGTAGCATCACAAACCGTGGGAACATATACAGCGGCACTGTTGGCATTAGTTGGTGAGTTCAAACCCGATTGCAGCGCCGTGGCAGCAGCAGCAGCAGCAGGAGGAGGAGAAGGAGCAGAATGGCGGGGAGGAAAAGGAGATAGTGTAGCAGTAGAGAGGGAGGCGGTTGAGGGAGGAGGGCAGCGGAGGGGGTCCAGGCAGGCGATGCAGTGGACGACGCGGGAAGGAGGGAAGAGGCGCACCCGGGCTGACACAAATGCAATGCACCTGGATGGATCCACTGCCAGGAGAAGCGGCAGCTGTGGGCAGGGCGTGCGCATTAGGGAAAGAGAAAAAAGGGAGTGTGGGGAAAGGAGGGGCGGGGGGGAGGAAGTGCTTTGAGGAAGTGTCTTTCTTCAATGCACCTGGACGGATCTACCGCCAGGAGAAGCGGCAGCTGTGGGCAGGGGTGTGCGTGCATTTGGGGAAGAGAGAAAAGGGAGTGTGGGGAAAGGAGGGGTGAGGGAGGAGGAGAAAAGGGGGAGGCAGAGGGAATAGAGAGGAGAGAGGATGGTGATGAAGGAACGGAAAGAGTGCTTCAGCTGTTGGGAAGCAGCATGTTGACAAGGAGCGCACAGGAGGGCACAGGAGGGCACAGGAGGCAAGCAGCGCATGGCATGGGACGGCATGTCACCTGAGTTTTTAGGCAGGGCATGAGCAGCGAGGCATGGGTCCTTATGAGGTCATATGCAGCATCCACCCTCCTCGCTGTGCATGGATTGGCCTCTGCCAACGCCGTCTGATCACAGGCAGGGGAGAGCGACAGACGGAGCAGAGTGCAGAGGAGAGAGCGGAGAGAGAGAGAGCAGAGGGAGGAGAAATGAGTGGGGGGATACATGGTAGAACAGGCATGATTATAGGCAGTGCAAGGGAATGACTGCAAAAAAGTACTTGAATGAATGCATCAGAGGGATGGGTGAGAATATATGAACAGGAAAACGGCGAGGGGTGACGGCATTGCATCAGTGCGCAGGGAGGGAAGGGGGGGGAGGGAAAGGGGGGAAGGGAAGGGGAAAGGAGGGGAGAGGAGGGGAGGGGAGGGGAGGGGAGGAGAGGAGAGGGGAGGGGAGGAGAGGGGGAGGGGAGGGGAGGGGAAGGGAGCAGATGAGTAGGAAGAAACACCTTAGAGGTTATATGGACGGAGGATGAAGAGGAAGGATACGAGAAGAGGTACCTTGGATGGAGATTTTAGGAGCAGAGGGGCGAAAGAGGGGAGCATACGAGGAGGTAGAAGCGCAGAGTCTCCGGTATGTTGTTGCTCTTCATGGATAGCTCTGCCAAGGCCTGTAAGGACCGCACCAGCAGGGTTCAGGGTGAGCGACAGCAGGGGGGCAGCAACAGGGTGAGGCACCTTGAAGCAGCGTGGGATGCATGCAATGCGATGCGAGCAGAGAAGCGAGATCTCTGAGATGTCTCCAACGGGAGAAACGACAGAGAGGGAGAGAGGACTGTTTGAGAGGGGGGGGGGGTTGGCAACTTAAAACAACCCTCTCGTTTTCGAATCAACTCATAAGCAGCCCTTGATCCCTCTCATGAAGGAGTCCCTTCCTTGCTGGCATCACCTCGAGCAGCGGTGCGGAGGGGCGAGCGTGAGCAGCGAGAGCGGCGTGTCGGGCTTGAGCGCGGGCGATGAGGGAGGGCAGCGGCAGGATGGCGGGCGGCCACGAGCGCACGACAGCGAGGAAGAGCGAGTGGTCTGCTGGGTTTGGCAGGAACGCACACAGCACCATCTGGAGGGGAAAGGGGGAGGAGGGGAGGGAGAAGGGGGGTGGTGTTGGGTTGGCCCTCTTTTTGGACGTCTCAAAAGGCCACGAGCGCACGACAGCGAGGAAGAGCGGGTGGTCTGCTGGGTTTGGCAGGAACGCACACAGCACCATCTGGAGGGGAAAGGGGGAGGAGGGGAGGGAGAAGGGGGGTGGTGTTGGGTTGGCCCTCTTTTTGGACGTCTCAAAAGGCCACGAGCGCACGACAGCGAGGAAGAGCGGGTGGTCTGCTGGGTTTGGCAGGAACGCACACAGCACCATCTGGAGGGGAAAGGGGGAGGAGGGGAGGGAGAAGGGGGGTGGTGTTGGGTTGGCCCTCTTTTTGGACGTCTCAAAAGGCCACGAGCGCACGTTGGCGAGGAAGAGTGGGTGGTCGGCTGGGTTTGGCAGGAACGCGCAGAGCACCATGTGGAGGGGAAGGGGCAGGGGGTGAAGAGGAAGAGTTTTAAGACGTCTCAAAAGGCCACAAGCGCAGGACAGCGAGGAAGAGCGGGTGGTTTGTGGGGGATGGCAGGAATGCGCAGAGCACCATCCGCAGGCGGTCGGGAGGGGATTGGGGGTAATGGGGGAGAGAGGGGGAGAGGGGCGGAAGGGAGAGAGGAGGGGGGAGGGAGAGAGGACTGGAAAAATAGCTTGCCATGAACAGTACTTTTTAGACCAGACTGATTGTCTGTAGTGGCCAGGTTGCTGGCTGTCTGTGCTGCAAGGAGTGGGAGCAAGGGTGAAAGGTGGGAAGACCAACCGTATTGCCAGAGAAAATGAGGGAGTGAGAATGTGGGAGATATGGTGGTTTTGATGCATGAATGAGTGCTCTTGGCGGGCGCGGGTTGGCAGAGCAGCGCAGCAAGGCAGAGCAGCGCAGCAAGGCAGAGCAGCGCAGCAAGGCAGAGGGCAGGCTGACTGACCTCATAGACGGCCGGGGCGAGCTGGGGGTGCTCAAAGGGAATATGCGGCAGCAGCACTGGCAGCTGATGCACCTGGGCAAAACACACCACCCACCTGCACGCGCCACACCACCCACACGCACACAGACATGCACACGCACACGCACACAGGCCCAGGGAGGACAGGCAAACCCGGGGGGGCGGAGAACAGGGAAGGGGGGCTTACACAGGAGGGTGCTACCAGGGTTGTGTGTAAGAGGGGGGCCCAACAGAGTTGTAAGATGCAAGAGTTCAGGAGTGCTCCAAGTTGGAAGAAAACCAGAGGTACCCCAACTTCTCCACTCCACAACAAGCAAACAATCTCCTTCACTCAACATTCTCCACTCCACGTTCTCCACAACAATGATCCTTCAAGCTGCCCCACAACCCATCAACCCCCACACTTCCCCTCCATCCCACTGCAACCACCCCCCAACCCCCCCACCTCCTCTCTCCTCCCTGTCCCCATGCAGCCCCCTCACCTCTCCCAGGAGGCGGCGTGGGAGCGGAGCAGCTTGGGGCAGAGAGCAGCGGCCTGGTGGTACCTGCGCTGCTGCATCAGGTGCTCTAGGTACTGCTGCCCCACCTGGTGGGGGTGGGTGGGGGTATTGAAGCGAGAGTGTAGGGACAGATAAGGGAGTACGTGGGTTGATGAGTGGAACGAGATGCAGTTAGGGGCAGAGAGCAGCGGCCTGGTGGTACCTGCGTTGTGACATGAGGTGCCCCTCCAGGTACTGCTGCCCCACCTGGTGTGGTGGGGGCATGTGTGCGTGAAGGTGGGGGCAGTACGTGCGCGCATGAGTGCGTGTGCGGGTGTGAGTATGCGAGTTGCAACAACGCAGTGAGGCAACAAAACCACAGGGAGAGTGCAGGCGGGGGAAGCGCAGGGAGAGGAGAGTGCTAATCAGGGGCTGGGCCAATGAGTGGAACGAGAAGGAATTATGGTCCTCATTTGAAGTCAACTCGTTCTGAGTAGACTCAAAGGTCACCTGAGATTGGGTCGACTCAAAAGTCACCAAGTCACCTTTTGAGTCGACTTGAAGGCAGCTCCCTCCCTCCTCTCACCTCTGAAAGCAACTCCATTGTGATGCCTGTTAGTGCGCCTCCCTCCATCCCTGCACTGCCCGCAGCAGTGGCACCACCAGCACCACCAGCATCAGCAGCAGCAGCACCATCAGCAGTAACGCCAGGGGCAGCAGCAGAAGAAGAAACAGAAGAAGCAGCAGCAGCGGCAGGTGCGAGGCCGGTGGCCTCCAGAGCAGCATGGATGCGGCCCTGCGACAGCAGCCACTGCACGTGGTCCTGTGCATCCCTGCTCATTGCGGTGACAGGCAGACGGGCGCACAGGTGGACAGGTGGACAGACGGACAAGAGGGGGGGACGTGTATTATAAGAATGGCATGAGGGTGCCATGTGATATAAGGGAAGTGAGAGAGGAGGTGGGAGAAGGGTTACATGGGAAGGTGGCGGAGTGGGAGCTGGAGATAGGGAAGGGGGAGAGAGTGGACGTGAAGAAGAGGGATGGGCGGGCACCAGGGAGCTGAGACCCTCCTACAGTCTACACAACAGGCAGAAGGGTGAATGAAAGGGTAGCTTTATAAGAGCACAGTACAGTACAGCAGGAAGAGGAAGGAAGAGAAGGAAGAGAAGAAAGGAGGAGTCGGACCTGGGACGTGCAAGCACCACGTCTCGAGGGCTGAGGAGCACGAAGCAGGGCTGCCACCCACTGCCCTCTGCCGCTGCTGCTGCGCTGCTGCTGCCGCTGCTGATGCTTCTGTTGCTGTTGCGGGTGTTGCTGTTGATGCTGCGCTACCAGGTGCGGGTGTAATGGCAGCAGCAGCTGCGCCTGACTGCATAGCAGGCGGGGAGGTGGGCGGAGCGGAATAAGCATCGACAGCAGCGGTGATGGCAGGAGGGAGGGTTGCAGTGGCTGGTGGGAGACATCAGAGGGGGGTAACGTGGGGGAGAGAAGGGGGTTGGGGAGAGGAAAGCTATGGTGAGGGGTAGGTGTGCGTGTGTGTATTTGTGCAAGTGCGCACGCAAGCATGTGCTAGGGGGGGGGGGGGGGAAGTAAAAAGGGGAGCAAAAGCGGGGTTTAGTCTTACAGCAAAGGATGCAGTGAGAAAGCGGTGGCAGGCAAGAGAGAGAAGGTGGGGTGGGGTTGAGGAGGGGAAGCGAGGGAAAAAGAAAGGAGAGCGAGACGGGGAGGGAGAGGAAGGAGAGGGAGAGGGAGAGCCTACCACAGAGGGGAGAGTGTGCAAGGTAGTAATCTGCCGCTTGCAAGCGTTCAAAGCCTCTGAGGGAGAGAATGTCAGATGAGAGCTCGTGGTTCTTGAGAGACACCAGGCGCACCTCAGGCCTGAGCGCCTGCACGGGGAGGAACGGTGCAGGAGAGGAGAAGTGGAGGGGGAAGGGGAGTGGGAAGGTGTTGGAAGAGAGACGAGGAGAGGAACAGGATGACAGGGAAAAGGAGAGAGACACAGAGGGAATTTGTTAGTCATTCCATTCAAGTAAATCGCTAGCTGTGACTTGTGAGGGTGAGGGCCCTGTGCACCTCATACCATACCTCTGCACATAACCATGCCCATATACATACCCATACCCATACGCCCATGGCCATACCCATACCCACCCATATCCATGCCCATATCCATGCCATGCACATGCCCCCCTCTTGCGTGTGGCATAGCGTACCAGAGTGAGCGGCCCCTCGCCAGCACTGGGTACAGCAACAGCGTCATTGAGGGCCGTCCCCACTGCGGCCACCGCCGCCAGCGCTGCTGCTGCTGTAGGCGAGTCCGGAAGTAAAGCTGATGCCGACGTTACGGATGCGGGCACCTGACCGCTGCTGCTGTTGTTGTCGCTGCTGCTGATGCCACCACTAGCTGCAGCGGATGCAGCAGTTGCAGCAGTTGCGGCAGAAACTGCAGCCGATGGAGCTGCTGCTGGTGCTGCTGAAAACGAAGCTTGGGTTGGTGGTTGTGGCGGCGGCACAGCAGCCAACGGGGAGGAGACAGTGGGCGGAGTGAGAGGAGACGCGAGGGAATGGTGAGACGGGGAGCGGGAACCGGAGAGAGGCGACGATGCAAGCAGCCCTGCAGCAGCAGCGGGCAGAGAGAGATGACCGGAGGAGCTAGACAGAGAGAGAAGCTGGTGTGTGGTGGGGGTGGAGGGGGAGCGAGCGCTGACGCTGTTGCAGCTGCTGCTGCGGCTGCTGCTGCTGCTGCAGGAGCTGGCGCTTCTGGAGTTGGCAAAGAAAGAGGAGGGCATGAGGTAGGCGAGAACGAGCAGGAGGTCTCCGTAGGGGGCTATGCCGGAGATTAAATAGTCTACTTTTAGGACTGAGGTGATTTCCATGTAGCGGGATGGGGATGAGGCGGAAGAGGAGGAGGAGGGGAAGGAGGAGAAGGAGGAGGAGTAGGAGGAGGAGGAGGTGGAGGATGAGGAGGAGGGGTTGGTTCGTGAGCGGATAACGGCTACTTTGATGGTGTCTGCCCAGCCTATGATGAGCGTGCAGTCATCCTGTGGTGGTTTGGTGTGGTTGAGAGAAAGGTGGGGGTTCAAGGGGCGAGGAGTGTAAAATGGGGGGGATGGGGGGGAAAGAGAGTGAGCAAGCGAAGCCGTGCGAGGGAGGGGAGGGATAACGGCTACTTTGATGGTGTCCGCCCAGCCTATGATGAGCGTGCAGTCATCCTGTAGTGGTGTGGTTGAGAGAGAGGGAGAGATGGAGGCTAACGTTGAAGAGGGGAGGAGTGTGAGCGGGGGGTTGTTGTGAGTGGGGCAGCAAATGAGAAAGAGGGGGAGAGGGTGAGCAAGCAACACCATGCGCAGGAGAGCGAGGAGGGAGCGGGAGGGGAGTGGAGAGGGAAAGGAGGGAGAGCCAAGGTAATAAGGTGGACGAGGCAACGGGATGGTAAACGGAACTAGCTGGGGAGCAGGAGGGGGGGCGGGAGGACAAGCACGGACCCGCCAGAAGAGGTGTGGAGGGAGCACAGTGGGGCTGGGGCTGCCTCGTGGTCGCTCCACAAAGGCAAGGCGAGCGGAGGAGGCGACGCAGTAGACCTTGACTCCACGGTCGTTGGCCCATGCTAGGTACGTGCCCCTCCATCTCACTACTGTGATGGCGCCCTCCCCTGTGTGCAGCACCTGCGGGAGACGGGGTGATTGGAGATGGCGAGATGGGGAGACAGGGAGTACGGGAGAACATGTGAGGCGGCTCAAAAGGCGAGGTAGGGGACACGTGGAGATGATTGGGAGCCGGGTAGATGGGGAGTGCAAGTGCGACGGAGACGTGTGAAGGTAGGCACAAAGTAAAGGCACTCGCCCATTGCCCCGCCTGTTCCCCCACCACAGCTGCTCGATCTAAAAACTTGAATAAAGTTCACTATTGCCTTCCTCCCCTCCCTTCCACATTCCCCTCCCCTCCTCTCCCCCACCCCTACGCACCTGATCCGTGGCCCCCAGCCATCCTCGTGTGCTCAAGATAAGCTCCCCTGCCACGCCCCCCGTGGCGAACTGGCGCGTGCGCCACACAGCGCCGAACGCGGGGTCAAGAGCAAGCGACCGGAGCGGGCGGTGATACTCAAACCGCTCCACCGTCTCCACCCCAGAGGACGCTGCAGATGCAGCAGCAGAGGAGAGAGACGCCGGCGGGGAGGACGCGGCGAATGCGGATGAGGAGAAGGAGGAGGAGGGGGAGGAGGAGAGGGGAGGTGGGGTGGTGAGATGGGGAGGGAGGTTGAGGGAGCGGATGACGACAGTGCCGTCATCTGAGCAGGTGGCGAGGTGCGAGGAGGTGGAGTCGAAGACTGCGTCTGTCACGGCTCCCACGTGCGGGTCGTACGTCTTCACCTGGAGGAGAGAGAGAGGGGGGCGAGGGAGAGAGGGGACTTTTGAGTCAACTCAAAAAGTCAGCTCGCGAGGAGGTGGAGTCGAAGACCGCGTCTGTCACGGCTCCCACGTGCGGGTCGTACGTCTTCACCTGGAGGAGAGAGAAGGGCGGGGAGGGGGGAGGGGGGAGGAGAGGGGCACAGGGACGCCGCAGCGAGTGAGTGATTGTGCGAGCGGTTGAGTGAGTGAGTGAGTGAGTGAGTGAGTGAGTGAGTGAGTGAGAGGAGGAGAGCAGGGAGAGCAAGGAGAGCAAGCAGCACAGCAAGGGGCAGCTGACCGACCTGGCGCCCTTGCTGGTCGACGACATGCAGAGTGCCCTCCGTGGTGCCCAGCGCAATGAGCCCGTGCGCAGAGAGCGCCACGCACGTGGGGATGGCCGTCTTCAGCACCTCGCTCACGTCCCCCTCCATCCGCTCGTACTTGAGCAGCGGCTCCATATCCCCCTCCGCCCCTCCCCCTCCCCCTTCCCTCTCCACCCCCACATCTCCGTCGCCCTCACCTTCCCCCTCCCCCTCCCCCTCGCCCTCGCCCTCCTCATACTCGTACATGCTGCCGCTCGCTGCTCCTGCTCCCCCGTGGCTGCTCATCTCCTCGTGTGACTCCACATGTCTCAAGTCCTCCTCCGTGTCTTCGTCGTCATACCTTCCCTCTACATCCTCTTCCTCCTCCTCTTCTTCTTCCTCTTCCTCCTCATCGTCCTCCTCCTCATCCTCGCTTCCATCGTCCTCCTCCCCTTTCCCCACCTCCTCTTCCCCCACCTCCTCCTCCGCCGTTACCTCTATCTCACCCTTCCCTTTCCTCTCATCGTCTTCCTCTGTGCTCCCTTCCTGCCGCTGATGCTCCCCTCCCTCCGCCTCCTCTTTTCTCAACAGCCCCTCTATTCCCAACGCTGACTCTTCAGAAGCAGCTGCGCCTGTAGCAGCTACAACAGCAGCAGCTGATGCCATTGCCGGTGCACCAGCAGAAGCTGCAGCGGGAGCAGCAGCGGGAGCGGCAGCAGCAGCAGCAGCAGCAGCATTGGAGCACCCCGCCCAGCAGGGGCGGTAAGGGGATGGAGATTGGGAGTGAGGGGAGCGATGAGGAGGACAGAGCAGCGAATGACGTCACTCCTAAACTCGTTCTACCGCTGCTGCTCTCCGCATCACCAACAGCGGCACCAGCTGCAGCGCTAGCACCACGACCATCATCAGCTGCTGCAGCCGCAGCAGCAGTAGTACTGGCAGTACTAGCAGCTGCAGTGGCACCACCAACGGCAGAGGCGGAAGCAGAAGAGACAGAAGAGGACATTTCCGCACTGCTAGTCGGTCCCACCGCCCTCTCTTGCAAATATCCCACACCTCCCAACCGCTTATCATCCCCCTTGCCTACCCACACAGGAGCAGGGGGGAGGCGCCGTCTCCTCCCCCCCACCGTGCGCGCAAACACAATGTCATCCCGCCTAACCAGCCCGCTTCCCGCAGCAGCCCCCGCCACCGCCCGCCCTTTCCGCTTCCCCATGTCAATCCCTATGTCGAGGCCTAGACCAGTCAAGTCTAACACCCAACCCTCCCGTTCCCCTTGTTTACTCCCAGCAGCGGAAACTGGCTGGTCGCCTTTGCTGCTCCTCCCTCTCCCGCGCGCTCCTCGGTTTCTACCCCTCCCGCCGCCTCTACCTCCGTTTCTCGCCCTACTCCCCGCGTCTAGCTCTCCTGCACGCCTCGTCGTCGTTCCCGCTTGATCTCCGTCCACAGCGGAACGTACTGCAGTGAACTCCCTACTCCGCACTCGGTTACCACGCCCAGACGAACCCGCCTTCCCTTTCCCGCGATCAACGGCATAGCCGGTCCCCGCATTGCCGTCCTCAGAAACCCTAAGATTGGAATGGAAGCTCGGTGGTATTTGCAGCTGCCCGGGGGCTACGACGGCCCTTTTGCCGCCGGCCGCAGGTCCAGCAGAAGCTTGCGTCGTCGCATGAGCGTCAGTTTTACGATAATTAGTGGCAGCGGCTGCTGCTGCTGCTGCTGCTGCTGCTGCTGTTATTGTTGGGTTAGACATTGCTTCAGACGGCGCTTCTGCCGTCCGTGGTACGGCCTCTTCTGGTGAGCAGGAGGCTTGGCTCCTCTCCGACTCCTCCCGCGCAACAGCTCCGTCATTTCCGCTATTGCGGATGCTGCTGCCGTTATTATTCCCGTCGACAATGCTACTCGTGCAACGCGCATCGTCACCCCCGCCGTCCGGGGCTCTAGGACTAGCAGCCGCGCTACTGGAACGCGCACCCGAACCCCCAACTTGCTCCATTCCAGTTCCGACCAGTCAGCGACTTCCATTTACACAAAATTGGTAGCATCGCATCTGTGGTAATGACATGGAGCCAGTCCAGGAGGTGCAGTTCTACAGGAGACCCATATGAAAGATAGTGCAGTTGTGGTATGTGGTGTAATGTGCAACGACATGATGAGCAGCCAGCTTGAAATGAAACCCAGCATCTGATGTTTTTTTGGAAGATCGCCTCCTGACATGGTGGAGGCGAGTGAAGGAGATGGAGAATAAAAATAGCTGGATTTGTATCGGTGCATCACATTTCTGTGCGGTACAGTGCAGTTCAAAATAGAGTTTCCTGTCACGAATGAAGCATGACGACCTGGAAAAGTGGACGCAAGTGTGGGCTCGCGAAGTCGTGCGAACCCGCTAACTGCCAACTGGCTCGACGAAGTCGTGCGACGCAGACACAAACACGGTCGCTGCGAGAGAGTGGGTGCCGCCGATTTCGCTAGCGGCTGTTCCGGGTCGCTTGTGCAGTGCAGGTGGTTGGGCTGCAGAGGGCAGAACCCACAGCAGTTGGCGCGTGGAAAGGTTTCCCCTCAAGAGAACAGCTCCTATTCTCAGGTATTCAGCAGGTATTTTGTGCTATCTGGTCATGCCTGCCCGTAGCAACCTGACCGCCAGCAAGCCAATGAAAAACCCTTTCCAGTACAGATGAAACTAGTTTCCTGAGCCCCACATGAAGATGGCCGCATGACTCGTTTGTAAATCACGCATTTACAAGTCAGATTTTCCAGATAAAAAATAAAAATTAGCTACTCCAGAACTAATATAATCATAATGACTTATATAACAAGCTGATCATATGGATATTTTAGACAAAGATATATCTTTTGTGAATCCTGTGAGAAATTGATGTAAAAAAATATTAGAATTTACTACAGTTTTGGAAGTCACGGGCAGCAAATATGATAAAGCAACTTCACAGACGTGCATGCTGATATATCAGCACGTGTATATAAAATCGTTACGGAGGTAACGCTGTCCTTCGACAACCATTCATTGTGATGTAACAACGTCTGCGACACTTCAAGTCTGAACTTTCGCGACGATCTGACGTGGAACGAGGCTGATTACGCTGATGATGGGAACCAGTAAAACGCTTCTGATCCAGCGAATGGGGATAGCCAGCGTGGACAGGAACCAGGAAGATTGGGTTTCTCGGGGATTCGGATAACGTGTCGCTCAGAATCTCGCTCTGTTTGGGTCACAGGTCTCTGTGTCGCAGCCCCAGCTTTACAATAACCACTCCATTCACCGCTTTCAGCACAACCGACTCTCTCCACTTCCTCCAGCACACTAGCAGTTTGACCCGGTCATCCCACAACTTGTAGCCATGGCCACCGTCGCTGCTGCCTCGTGCGCCTCTGCCGCCACCTGCTTCGTGCAGAAGTCTGTTTCCTCGAAGCAGATTTCCGGCCGTGCTGCCGGTACGCACCTATCCCGTTCTCCTTGTCATTACTGACGCTGAATAAATCCTTGTTCATTACCAGTCTATTCTTGTCTCATTGTTCTCCTGTATTTCCCTATTTTCTGCATTGCGATTTCAGGTCTTCCTGCTCTTCGCATGTCAAAGGTGACCTGCTCTGCTGAGAGGAAGGAGAGGAAGGCTGTCCTGTCTGCGGCTACCGTCGCTGCCTCGGTCTCTGCTGCCCTTCCGTCCCTGGCTGCCGTTGAGGAGATTCTCGGTGGCGACGGCACCGGTCTCCCCCTTGGCCTCAACGATGCTTCCCTTACCTGGGTTCTCCTCGGTGTCTTCACCACCATCTGGGGTGCTTTCTATCTGTATGCCTCGTCGCTCCCCAAGACCGATGATGACTCTGGCCTTGGCTTGTAAGCGAAGTACCTATTAAGCCAGTGGGCGTCTAAATACGCTGTAACTTTTGCACCAAATTAGTTTTGTCATATATTTTCGATGTTACGCTCGACATACTGAACAAAGATGGTCATTTATCGAGCAAATCGAGGCATTTCAACATTTCCAAGAGAATGCTTTGGACTATGATTGTAGTTCCTTGAATTATGCCTTACCGTGGCTATTTGTAAAAAGTCTGTTGGAGCGACAAATCTGGAAATTGCACAGACGTTGATGCTAATGGGATTGTAAAGCAGCGCACTCACTCACATTACAGAATGGCACATCAGGTAGACAGTGGAAAGCTCTCACCACAGCTCTGGCACCGCACTTCTGCAACCGCTCTTGGTTATTTGACTGTGAAAGAAGACACCTGTCTCATTTCCACCTACGGTACTCTGCATCAGTTCAGTCCATTATGATTGCATTGTTGCTACTGTGGCAATTAGGCCAAGTTAGTTTGTATTCACCCTGAGCTCTGTAGCTCAGAGAAAAGGAGATACTGTGTTAAGAACAGAATGAATGGAGGCTGAGGACATACAAAGGTTTAATTTATACGGTATCCCATACCTTTTATAGTGCAACGTACAAATGTACCGTATATGCATACGTTGACAGCGCTACTGCCAGGGCTTGGATTTTGCCTACTCACGATTGGCAGTGTAGCTGTTTAAATAACCCTTCTAAGCAATGTTTTCATTACACTGATGGATCAGTGTAACCATGAGTTTCATAAATTTTACCCTGCAACAGCAGTGTGAGTTTCCGTGGCGTGCTGGCAAGGGAAACATACAAAACTGACCAATCAAACACGAGACTGCTGCTAAAGAACAGACTGCACGGAAAGAAAACACCAACCAACGGAATCCTGGGGGGGGGGGGAGGGAGAGGGGGGGGGGGACTGTACGTGTTAATAGAACTAGGCAAGAATGGTTGGATTGAAAGAAGCAAGGGTACAAATAGGAAACCCTAGTTTGGGTTGTACCCCATATTGGCTACCCCACTACAGCCTACCAACATATAACACATTACAATTTAACACACCCCCATAGGCAAAGTGGGGGAGAACAAAGGGTCACAAGACCAGTCCAGCAAAGCAACGCAAGCCCAGGGTGGATCACAACGTCACCACACTCCGAGCACAAGCAAAGGCCTCAAGGCCAGTTCACATGCAGTGCTAGATATAGTACAAGACAAGCAGCACAGTGATCAAAACCTAGCAAGCAAGCAACAAGATATATATATAAAGTACAGTACAAAGAATGTCAAGCAGTAAGCAAATGAGGGAATGTGGACACAAGGCCTAAAGAAGTACAGTGTCGCTGATGATCACTAGGCGGGAGCGCCTTGGTGAAGATATCAGTAGTGTTGGCCTTCGAGTCCACGTACACAAGCCGAAGCTGACCACGCTGCTGAAGCTCTCGAGCAAGAAAGTAGCGAAGAGCAATGTGCTTCGTCCTGTGCTCCAGTCTGTGCTCCTGACACAAGGCAAGGGCCGCCTTGTTGTCACCGTACAGAACTGGAGGAGAACTAGGCCGCTCTCCCAAGTCAGTCAGCAGGTAGGTGAGCCAGCGTAACTCCTGTGCAGCCATGGCCGTGGCGTAGATCTCAGCCTCACAACTAGAGCCGAGAACAGAAGAAGAGCGGGTGGACCGCCACGAGACAGAACCAGAGCCAAGGCTGAAGGTGTAACCCTGTGACGACCGCTGCGTAGCCAGGTCGTCCACCCAAGAAGCGTCCGAGTGACCAGTGAGGACAACTCTGTCGCGTCCTCCAAGCACCAGCCCCATGCCTGACGTACTGCACAAGTAACGCAGCACCCTCTTAGCAGCCTCCCAGTGCTCTCGCCTGTGTCTCCCAGGCGCAACGTAACGAGCAAGGATGCTAAGAGGGTACGCGAGGTCAGGTCGCGTGCAAGTCATCAAGTACATGAGGCAGCCTACAAGCTCTGGGTACGGGCCACTCGGCTCTACGGACTCGTCCGAAGGTGGAGCTGAGAGCGAGTGGCTGGTAGCCAGAGGTGTGGCCTGTGGTGAGGAGAACTGGAAGCTGTTGAGATAGCTAGGCAAGGTGAAGTTGACTATCGAGAGAAATTTTACAAGTAGGAAAACCCTAAGGGGTTATCCCCTATAACATCTACCCCACTACAGCCTACCAATATGTATCACACATATATATCATTTGACACACCCCCATAGGCAAAGTGGGGGAGAGCAACGGGTCACAAGACCAGTCAAGAGAAACAAAACAAGCTCAGGGTGGATCACAACGTCACCACACATTCTGAGCACAAGCAAATGGCCACAAGGCCAGTTCACATGCAGAGATATATATGCAGCAATGACAGTACAGTGTCGAGCTACCTAGCAAGAGCCAGCATGCAGGTATATATGTATATAGATCACAGTACAAGCAAAGACTACAGCAAGTGTGGAAGCGTAGGCACAAGGCCTAACAGAGTACAAAAGCGCTGATGATCACCAGACGGAAGTGCCTTGGTGAATATATCAGCAGTGTTGGCCCGAGTGGCCACGTAACGAAGACAAAGCTGGCCTCGCTGCTGCAACTCTCGAGCCAGGAAGTAACGCAGAGCAATGTGCTTCGTTCTGTGCTCCAGTCTGTGCTCCTCACACAAGGCAATGGCGGCCTTGTTGTCAACGTACAGCACTGGAGGAGAACGAGGCTGCTCTCCCAAGTCAGTCAGCAGGTAGGTGAGCCAGCGTAACTCCTGTGCAGCCATGGCGGTGGCGTAGATCTCAGCCTCACAACTGGAGCCAAGAACTGAAGACGAGCGTGTAGAACGCCACGAAACTGAACCAGAGCCAAGGCTGAAGGTGTAACCCTGTGACGACCGCTGAGTAGCCAGGTCGTCAACCCAAGAAGCGTCTGAGTGCCCAGTGAGGACAACTGGGCTCGTCCCTCCAAGCACTAGCCCCATGCCTGATGTGCTGCACAAGTAGCGCAGTACCCTCTTAGCAGTAGCCATGTGCTCAGGTCGGTGTCGACCAGGAGCCACGTAGCGAGCGAGGAGACCAAGAGGGTACGCGAGGTCAGGTCGAGTGCAAGTCATCAGGTACATGAGGCAGCCGACTAGCTCTGGGTAAGGACCACTCGGCTCTACGGACTCGTCCGAAGGTGGAGCTGAGAGCGTGTGACCTGTAGCCAGAGGAGTGGCCTGTGCTGAAGACCAGGTGAAGCCGAAGCGCTGAAGGACCTGCTGCACCATGTGTGACTGAGTCAAGGTGATGGTGCGGCGTGCTCTGTCCCGGGTGATCTGCAAGCCAAGGTAGCTGCGCAGCTCACCCAAGTCAGTGCACGTGTGTCTCTTCTGTAGCTCCGACTTCACGTGGGCGAGAGCCTCAGTGTCAGCAGTGGCAAAAACCAAGTCGTCGACGTACACGAGGATGTAGAACGGCGGCAGTGAAGTGTCTGTGCGCAGAAACAGCGACGGGTCAGCAGTAGAAGGCGCAAACCCAAGAGCCGCAAGTGTCGTCCTCAGTGTGTCGTGCCACTCACGTGGCGCCTGGCGGAGACCGTAGACCGGCCGTCGGAGGCTCCACTGGGTGCCAGGAGGGAACGACCCAGTGAAGCCCGGGGGGCGGCGCAGCCAGATCTCCTCGTGCAGGCTGCCCTGTAAGAAAGCAGTGCTGAAGTCAAGAGAGTGAAGCTCGTAGTCACGGTGAGCAGCAACGTGCAGCAGCACCCGAAGAGTGGTCATCTTCGGGGTGGGGGAGAAGGTCTGGAAGAAGTCAACTCCCTCTCGCTGACTGAAGCCTCGAGCCACGTAACGCGCCTTGAAGACAGGCGGAGAACCCGGCGGCCGCTTCACCCTGAAAATCCACATGCCACTGACGATGTTCGCCCCAGGTGGGGGAACCTCGTCGATGTAGGTGCCTGTGGACTTCCAGGAAGCCATCTCTGCGTCCATGGCTGCCTGCCACTGAGAGGAGTAGGGACTCTCTATCGCCTCTGCGTAAGAGCGCGGAGTCGGGATGTCTGGTGCATCCGGGTCTCCCTCAGGGGCAAGTAGCGAGGACACAAGATGAGGTAAAGCAGCAGCAAGACACTGGAACTCCTCCTGCCTGTCCTCAAGGACGTCCGTGCTAAGAGCACACTCACCCCCGACGGACGGAGGACAGACAGACGCAGACTCAGTAACAAGACCGGCGGCGTAGTCTAGACGACAGGCAGCAGCAAAGTCAACAAGCTCATCGACAAGAGCAGACGCAGCAGTAGACTCAAACGACGGGTCAGTGACAACAGTGGCTAGCAGACGCGTGACAGTAGGGTGCTCAGCACGAAACCGGTCAGACTCAGGGTCTGGAACGTCAGGTAGAGAGGACGCAGGAGGAGACGGAAGAGGAACAGGCTGCAGAGCAGAGGAAGGACGACGAACTACGAGGTGTGTGCTGGGGACAGCCTGCTGACGCGAACGAGGAACACGACGACCGGGACGAGCAGGCGAGACAGGACGCGACACAGGCTCACGACGCTCAGCAGGACTACCAGTCTGCTCAGTGTAAGGAGAAGGAGCAGGCAGCGGTGAGCCAGGCTGTAACGGAAGACCAGTAGACGACGGGAGAGTAAGAACCTGACGAAGAACAGAGTCAGACGGCGGCAGAGACGACGGAGACGGCGGAGCGAAGAACAGTCGTGTCGGTGCAGCTGCACCAGTACCGGCAGCTCCAGCAGCTCCAGTACCCCCAGCAGCTCCAGTACCTCCAGCAGCTCCAGAACCTCCAGCAGCTCCAGAAGCTCCAGTCCCAGAGTCGTCACCTCCAGTCCCAGTGTCTCCAGCCCCTGTGTCTCCAGCAGTAGCACCCCCAGAACCAGCACCCCCAGTCCCAGGGTCTCCAGCCTCAGTGTCACCAGCAGCAGCACCCCCAGAGCCAGCACCTCCAGTCCCAGGGTCTCCAGCCTCAGTGTCTCCAGTACGAGTACCTCCAGAACCAGCGACTCCAGCACCTCCAGTAGACAAAGGT